CGCTGGGCCCCAAACCTGACGCGTCGTCAACGAAGAAAGGGCCTCCCTCCAAATAGAAAGTTCAGTTGAGGAGGCCCAGGTAATTTTCCCGTTCCAGCTGCCTACCCTGAAAAAGGGCCAATCCCAGGTTTCTAATTGGACCAGCAGAGCACCACTTTAATTTTAAAAGCCTCTAACCTGTTCCCGCGGATCACCGCATTCCGCTTCCAATTTCTCCTCTAACGATAAATCGCGTCACAGAGCCTCAAAATCTCGTGGCGGTTCCTTTATTTAAAAGAGCAACCGGGGCCTATCTCCTCTCTCCCCCCACTTCCTCCTCCTCCTCCTCCTCCTCTGTAGTTATAAATAAATAAATAATAAGAGAGAGAGAGAGAGAAACAAGAGAGAGAGAGAATGGAGAGAGCTTCAGCTTCAAGATTCAAAAGGGTTTGTGTGTTTTGTGGCAGCAGCTCAGGGAAGAAGCAAAGCTACCAGCTTGCTGCAACAGAGCTTGGCGATGAACTGGTCAGTGACATTTTTCAGCAAAATTTTGTGTTAATAGTTTGTTAATTTAGTTTATCAAGGACTCATTAGTTATGGTTAATCACAGGTTAAGAGGAACATAGATTTGGTTTATGGTGGAGGGAGTATTGGGCTCATGGGCCTCGTTTCTCAGGCAGTTTATGACGTCATCGGGTGAGTCATTCAATATGAACTCTATCATAGTTGACTTGGCTGCATGCAAGCGGGATGTTCTGATCTGTACAAAGAGCGATGATATTTACGTATTATCCTCTTATTTGTCACTTTATTGATCAGAACAACCTGCGTGCATGTTGGCTGTCCAACACTTTCTTTCTTTTTTATTGAACTTAATTAGTAGGGAGGATCAGTTTTGAGATTGGTTCGGCTAAGATTTGTCAATATTTTTTTATCTTTGTCCAGGGTGATTCCCAAGAGTCTGATGCCCAGAGAGGTAATGACGCTTTTTATTTTATTCCTTTTTTTTTTTTTTANATAACAAAAGAATTGCAAAAGTGGACTTTTATGAAATCTTATCTGTATAGAAAAAGAAGGGACTGTACTTGTATAACTAACAAAAAAGTGGGGTTTCATATTTACCCCTTTATAGAGTATCAAAGATCTTTGTGCTTTTTTGGGAGGGTTTGAACTGAATTATTTACTGTTACATGTGATTAGTTATGTGTAACTTAATTTATGTAGTTTTTCATAGGATTTTTTCCCCCTTTTCTTGACAGAAAAATAGGCCGCAAGGAGCCCTATTCATAATTTATTAATATAAACAAAGCTCAATTAAGTTAAGCGGGTGTACCATTTTCAGAAGATTAACAAGCTCAACTGGGAGATATAGAGAGAGTTTACAAATTTGAACCGAAGCTAGCAAGGTCTTTTTCCGGAGACCAGCGTCACCAGACCCTTCCTTTTGCCTAGAATAGGAACTTCATCCTACGTCAAATGTATTGGAATATCTCACTTTATTTACGTATTTATTTATTTTTCTCCCCTTAATTTTCTTGATATGATATCATTTCTTGACATTAGAGAGTCAGAAACGTTTTCTATCAGCGAGGCTGTTTCACACTGTGAAATGCTAAATACTATTCTCCGTAAAGAAAAAAATTTCAATTTCAACTTCTTACCGTTATATAAATTAATTTACCGTATTTTTTCCCTCTAAATATTTGTATTTACAGATAACCGGAGAGACCGTCGGAGAGGTCAAAGCCGTGTCCGGAATGCATCAGAGAAAGGCCGAAATGGCTAGACACGCCGACGCATTCGTTGCTCTGCCAGGTACAATAATTACCAAGAATACATATACATATATATCTAAAGCGACAAATTTTCAAAACCGTCTCATATGGACATTTAATCCCAAAAACAGACCCATTTTCATAATATTTTCAAAAACCGACATGGTTTCAGTCTTGGCGCTGAAACAAGATTGGTTTTTGTGAAAAAACTTCAACTCCCGTGAAGTTTAGTAAAGCTGCTAAATTTCACGGGAGTTGAACTCCCGTGAAGTTTAGCAGATTTACTAAACTTCACGGGAATTCAACTCTCGTGAAGTTTCGAAAGTTTTTTAACAAAAACCGATCTGGTTTCAGCGCCAAGGCTAAAACCAGGTCGGTTTTTAAAATATTGTAGAAATAAGTCTTTTTTTTTATTAAATGTGGAAAGATGTCTTTTTTAAAAATTTGTCCATATCTAAAGGATTACGTACTTATAGAAATAGTTTTATTTTCTTCAAAAAAAAATTCTTAATATTTGTTAGGGAACTGTTGCAAATGTCCTTAAACGTACGCCTAGCTACCTTGAAATTTTGGTCCCATGTACGTGTCTGCATCCACGGTACCATCAAATTATTCCCATTGTCTGAACCCTAGGTATCTAAAGGCAAATTTTCTTCCTGCCCTTGGAAAAAGGATTGGATGAGCGCTTCATTCATGGATATGCATTGATCCAATAGTGTACTAAGTTCACTGTAGATGAGAAAGTATGGATTTGATTATGTACGGTATTTATACTACACCAATGAATTAGGGGTGACGCCGTGACGCTACAAGCACACCCTCTGCCACACCTCCGGTCACACCCCATCTCCCTCTACAGTGCAGGAGGCCCCACCTGAGATTTTTGACCAGAGGTGTGACAGAGGGTGTACCTGTAGTGTTTTTCATGAATTAATTACCACGAAGTACTTTCTTTATTACGTTCCCATACACCGAGTGAAACTTAACTAAAATCTATTTGAAATTATGCGAGCAGGTGGCTACGGGACACTGGAGGAGCTCCTCGAAGTCATTACTTGGGCTCAGCTCGGGATCCACAACAAGCCGGTGAGGATGGATTTTCGGGAAAAAGAAAGAAAATAAAATAAAAAAATTCCTGCTTAATTATTAATTCCCGTAGAATTAATCCATAAGCTTAATTTATTGACCGCGTGCAAAAATTTATGCAGATTGGTTTATTAAATGTTGATGGGTACTACAACTCATTGTTATCTTTCATTGATAAAGCCGTTGATGAAGGTTTCGTCACGCCCACCGCTCGTCATATCATCATCTCTGCTCAAAATGCGCATGAACTGCTATCCAAGTTAGAGGTTCGTTAACTAATTAATATTCTCACTTTGCATCAAATTTTGGTTGCACGTGAACTAATTAATACGCACATAATTAAATTTTACTGAATGTAGGAATATGAGCCGAGGCATGATGAGGTGGCACCCAAGCTCAGCTGGGAGAAGGAGCAATTGGGGCACGCACCCAAAGTAGAAATTGCCCGTTAGCCGAAGACCATGTAAATATCAATCATACGCATTGACCAACCATCAAATTAATCTCGTATAATTCTGGTTATATTTTTTTTAATTAATTCTAGCGAGCGAGTAGGCTAATGTTCACTTTTTTAACGCCCACTTGATATTGTCCTTCTCTTTTTTTTATTCAGGTTTTTTTTTTCCTAATGTATGTAATGGGCCCCACTTTGACTTGTCTGAATTCGAAATTCCCTTCTCTCTGTACAGTTTTATTTATATATCCGGTGCCCGTTTATTGTAACCAGTCGAGAGGCACGTGTAATGCACGCGGTTGAATATCATGATTATATAAATTGATAAAAAATAAAATAAAAGTAAAAAAATAAAGTTTTTTTAGGATTGATCATCAACTCAATAATTTCTCTCTCAAATAAAATATTATCATTGTTTCCTTTAACCCAGACTATGGCTACGTGATCTATTATTTGTGAGTTAAAACACATTGATCTAGTACGACATCTCTGTTTATTAGTGTCTTGAAGTCTTTAAAAGATGGGTGATCATTCAATTCGCAAAGAAATTTTGCATATGAATTTATTTGAAATACGTCCATTAAACTTTTAGTTGTGGTTTGACTCACATTCACATTAACTTATAGTTATGATTTAACTCATACTTACATTATCTAATATTCTCATTCAATTTTATAGCTCATTCTCTGAACCATAAAAGTAAAACTGAAAGTATAAAGTATTATTTTCATGCGAAATAAGAGCATGAAGCTTATGATATATTTCGTCATGTGCTCTAAATATATTTTTTTTTTCTTTGATGCAAGGTCTCTATCAAATGTTTCACCAAACGATGTGAATAAAAAATGCTATCATAACTCACTGGCCTAGAGCAATTGTATTGTATATAGGATATATAACTTATCCGGAATATCCATATCTACTAAGTAGATTTCGCTGTCATGAGAGCAAAATGTTAGAGGCTCGTATTCAAACTTTTTGTCTCTATAAAAGACATAAGCATTTAGAGTGCATAGGATATATATCGTAAAAACATATTGGTTCATAAAGGATTTTCCTAATAACGATATTATCATAACAATATTACTGTTTGTTATTAAATCAATTTTATTATATAAGATTATATGTCTCTTTTTAATAAATTATAAAGTATATATATAGAAACCTCGATGCTTATAACCAGTAGTTAGACTCTACAAAATAGGTTAATTTTATATTATAGTTTGCTATTTGTAACGCCCCGCCCCGAAATCCCAGAGTCGGTACGCTATTAGATCTGATGGACTGGCCTCACAAACCACCACATGTCTTTTCAGCATGTTTTGTCCTCACTCACGCGCTCCCTGGAAAACTTCCCAGGGGGGGTCACCCATCCTAGAATTTCTCCAGGGAGCGCGTGAGTGAGGACAAAACGTGCTGAAAAGATATGTGATGGTTTGTGAGGTCAGTCCATCAGATCTAATAGCGTACCGACTCCGGGATTTCGGGGCGGGACGTTACAAAATGGTATCAGAGCCAGGTTAACCGGAATTGTGAGAGCTAAGTGCTATGCGGCGCAAAGTGCTACGTCTTGAGGCCGTAGGAGCCACCTCTTGAGACCGTAGGAGCCACCTCTAGAATCTCACACGGATGGTACGGTCTTGGATGATATGATTTAGCACAACGAGGACGTTGTGAGTTTAAGTGGGGGAGTTTGTAATATCCCAACCCTTGAGAGGGTGATATGATTAGTATTGATAGATTTAATTGGAATACTCATACCATCAAGATGCATCTTCTTTTCGGGAACCCAACTCTTAAAAACTCCAAAGTTAAGCGTGCTTGGCCTGGAAAAATTCTAGGATGGGTGACCCCCTGGGAAATTTTCCAGGGAGCGCGTGAGTGAGGACAAAACGTACTGAAAAGATATGTGGTGGTTTTTGAGGCCAGTCCATCAGATCTAATAGCGTACCGACTCCGGGATTCCGGGACGGGGTGTTACAAATGTAAGACCCCGTAGATTTTGATAATTTATATATGTGACTATTAGTGAAAAATAATATTTATTTATGATAAATATCCTTATGACATGGTTGTGCATGAAATCTAGCATTTTTGAGCTTATGAGGATGTATATATGCATCAGAGTCGAAGAACTCAGTTTTCAGCTCATGAGTCGACCCATGACTGTTATGAGTCGACTCGTGATATCATCTCCCTTTGTCATAAGTCTCTGCTGAGTCGACTCATTATCTTATGAGTCAACCTATGAGCCATGAGTCGACTCATGACTGTCATGAGTCGACTCATCGGGGGTTTTCTGAGTTTTGTGGGTCGGGTTTGTTTGGGTTTCGGGTCGGGTTTTAACTGTTCACATATATTCTCCTCCACCCGAAAACACCTCTTTTCATCAGTTCTCCCCAGAGAAACCCTAGCCTCCTCTCCCATTCAAAACCCTAGTTCGTTTTTGGGGTTTTTGGGAGATTTTCGGGGGATTTCAGCAGCTTCTTTTGGATTGCAGCGAAGGGGATCGTTCTTCATCACATCTGAGGCGAGTAACATCTCGCCCAATCCTTCTCCCATGTTTTCAATAGTTTACAAACGTTTTTCATGAGTTTTATTGAGCCTAAGACTTATTTTCAAGTATAAATCAATGTTCTTATTAGGATGAATGCTAGAAATCATGTGTTTCAGATTTAAAATCCTCACCAACGAGTTTTTGATAAAAACCCAGATCTGGAAATTTATTTAAGAATGACAAATATGAGTATTTATTTTGATTAAATGCTTTCACTCATGTTTAGGAGTTAAAAGTTAGGTCTAACATGCTAATGTTCGTTTCTCATGCTATATATGAATTTATCACTGCCTCATAGTCTAGAATTGATAGTGATGGAGGTGAAGATCAGTATAGAGGGAGTACGGAACGAGATGGACGAGCTGCAGTTGTGAAAATCATGAGTTGACTCATCAGGTTGAGTCGACCCATGACTGTCATGAGTCGACTCACGAAGTCTTTTCCTATTATCATAAGTTTCTGCTGAGTCGACTTGTAACTGATCATGAGTCGACCTATGAGACATGAGTCGACTCATAACTGAACACGAGTCGACTCATCGGAGTTTTTCCTATTTTGTTTGTATTTCTGCTTGATCACCTACTGTGCTTATATTTTCATACAGTGTTCATATATGATCGAGGGTTCTGTTGAGCTTTTGTTGAACATCATACAGTGTTCATATATGATCGAGGGTTCTGTTGAGCTTTTGTTGAACATGAGAATGTTGCCTTGTTTACCGGGTATTAAATTGCAGTATTTATGATTTTATCTACACATGTAAAATGACTTTTCTGACACAAGCTTAGATCTGTACAGCGAGGCATGTACAAGAGTAGAATATGTATACTATTAGTATTCCATGATTCTTATACACAGTCCTCGTGTTGGACAATAATCCATTACAGCCTTATGTTGGATAATTGCTAAACCTTGAGTATATTTCTTAACCGAGTTTGGAACACGACATATTATATGAGGCTGGGACGTGATAGCTACCTAGGCTGGACATGACACTTATTGTAGCTTTGACATGTTTAAATTGTATCGGTAGAGATGGGTTTGTTTTCTTTTCTTCATTTATTTCTTGTGTTAAGCCTCGGGTTTAGTATTTAGGGATTTACAATTTGAGATACAAGGTATATACATGAGGGTTTCCTTGTTTGGATTATTTCGCTCGACGTACCTATGCTCGTGTTGTAACTTCCTAAGTACTAAAACCTACTATTGTTAGTATAAATGATTTTTTTTAACTATTATGCAATAACTGTATGTTCTGTATACAACAAGACCTTTCCCTTGGGGTTGGTTGTGGGGTTGGTTGTGATGTTGCTCGCTAGCGCTTTGACGCTCGTTGTCCCTCCCCCTTTCAGGTAACGAGCCAGGAGTCCGGAGAGTCGCAGGTTGATGGCGATGCACTTTAGCTTCAGCCGTCTATTTAGTTATATTATCTTTTGAGCTCCACTGTAGACTTTTGTGTAGACATTTGAGAGTTTTATTCTAGAAGTTGTAAAGGCTGTGTGCCTTATTTCCTCTTGTCAGACATTTTGTATTTGAGACTTGTTGAGAACTCCAGTTCATTTATTTCAAACATTTACTTGTATTTCAGTATATTAGATGATGAAATATTAATTTGATCTCTATTATTTCATCAATTGATTCTTGTATTATCTCTTACTTGCTTTTATCAAAAACTCGTTGGTGAGGATTTCAAATCTGAAACACATGATTTCTAGCATTCATCCTAATAAGAATATTGATTTATACTTAAAAATAAGTCTTAGGCTCAATAAAACTCATGAAAAACGTTTGTAAACTATTGAAAACATGGGAGAAGGATTGGGCGAGATGTTACTCACCTCAGATGTGATGAAGAACGATCCCCTTCGCTGCAATCCAAAAGAAGCTGCTGAAATCCCCCGAAAATCTTCCAAAATGCCCAAAAACGAACTAGGGTTTTGAATGGGAGAGGAGGCTAGGGTTTCTCTGGGGAGAACTGATGAAAAGAGGTGTTTTTGGGTGGAGGAGAATATATGTGAACAGTTAAAACCCGACCCGAAACCCAAACAAACCCGACCCACAAAACGAATATATGTGAACAGTTAAAACCCGACCCGAAACCCAAACAAACCCGACCCACAAAACTCAGAAAACCCACGAAGTTTTCCTATTTTGTTTGTGTTTCTGCTTGATCACCTACTATGCTTATACATTCATACGATGATCATATATATTTGAGGATACTGTTTACTATTTTTTGAATATGAGAAGTCGCCTCGTTTATCGGGTATTAAATTTCAGTGGTTATGATTTTATCTACACCCGTAAGATGACGTTCCTGACACAAGATTAGATCGGTACAGCAGGGCATGTACAAGAATAGGATAAGTATACCTTTATCGTTTGTATTCCATGGTTCATACACACAGTCCTCGTGTTGGACTATAATCCATTAAAGTCCTCGTGTTAGACAATAATCCATTTGAGTCCTCGTATTGGACTATAATCCATTAGGGTCCTCATGTTGGACCATAATTTATTACAGTCATGTTTTAGACTCTTGCTAAACCTTGAGCATGATACTTAACCAAGGTTGGTACACGACATATCATATGAGGCTAAGACACGATAGCTACCTAGGTTGGATATGTCTCTTATTGTAATCCTCGGCATGTTTACGTTTATCAATAGAGA